TTTTAAAATATATCATGGTGTTTTGAAGCCTAATTTGAGAAGATGTTTTCAAAAATTAAAGTCTCATAAAATTGAAGAAAAGTGAGAGCCAAATTTGAACTTAATTCAAATGTGTTGAACCTTGATCTTATTCCCAACACTTGACTCCTGGAAGCAGTGAACGGCTCCACCAATCCCTCCAGTCACTCAGCCCATAAAAGTAGGACTCATCTTTAATTTCTCTCTTTATCTCAGAGCTCCACTTTCAATCCATTAGAAAACTCCTGTTGGTGTTGCCTAAACACATGTCCAGAATCTAACCAATTCTTACCACACCCATACCACCACACCCATTCAAGTCTGAACTATCTCTCTCCCGGATTGATACAACAGTCTCCTCACCAGCCCGCATGCTTTCACTCTTGTCTTTTTAGAGTCTGTTCCCACAACAGCAGCACAAGTGATCCTTTCAATAAGCAAACTGACCATATCTTTACTCTGCATAAAATATTAAGTTGGCTTCCAGCTTTGTCCAGAATAAAGCCACAGTTCTTACAGTGGTGGACAAAGCCCTCCATAGTCCAGTACCTCTCTGACCTCATCTCCAGTTGCTCTACCTCTTGTTCTCTCTGCTCTAGACTGACTGGCCTCATTGCTGTGTACTGAGCGGGTGATCTGCTCTCACCTGAAGACCTTTGCACTGGCCACTTCCATATATACAATGTTAAGAACTTCATCTTCTTCAAGGGTTTACTCAAGCCACTTTCTCAGTAGCCCTAATCATCAATCATCCTATTTAAAATGTCATCTACCTCATGCTATACCTACAATCTTCCCTGTCCTTCTTAATTTTATTTTTCCTAGAGTCAAATGGCCCCATAATATACAATTTGTATTTATGTTTTAATTGTCCTTCTTACTCATTTAGATTCACATACTTAGATCTCTGTTTTGTACACTGATGTACTCCAAGTGTTAAGTGTCTGAAATAGTGTCTGGTATATCGTGGGAATCCAACCTCTGTATGTTTTAAATAAGTAAAATCCCTGAGGCCAACCCATTGTTAACATATCAGCATATCCTCTTTAAGCCTAAGTTTATAGTTGGCAATTCAGTTTCATATTGTTCTGAAATTTGGCATTATATACAGAGATTGGATTTATTTACCCAATTTAAACAAAACATATTAAGCTATTTGAAGTACTGTAAGTATAATTTTAAAAAAAGACTTGAGATACATGACACTATGTTTTAGAATTGCATAAATCTTTAGGGCCCTAGATTCATTGGGGAAATTTAACTTGTCAGGTAGTTTATGGTTTGTTCTGTAGGTGGTATTATGTGCAAATGAGTTTGCTAAATATATAATGTAGTGCAATTTTGCTTCTGTTGAAAGCAAATAAGAAATAATCATCTTGCGGTAGTCAATGAGTAAAAGGAGGATAAACTTTGAAAAGTACACCAGCAAATTATTAAAATCTTTTAGAATGTAAGGTGCTTTTTTCTTCTTCTTTTCAGAGACTATGTTTTAGGAGTAACGTCTGCAATCTCAAATATTCAGTCTAACTTAGAATTGCATTACTTTATTTTGGATATCTCTCTGCTAGCCTCATGATGGTCTTCCCTTTCAAGCACTTAATTACCTTGAACCAGGACAGGCTTGCAAGTGATCACAGATTAGGGACTACAACCAAGGTAGGGGCCATATGCAAAGTGTCTGAAATCAGATCCACCTCAACGACGGCTACTGATTATGTTGAGAAAAAGACCAATGGTCAGCATTAAGAGGAATTATCAATTATGAGATCTAAAGAGTGAATGTGAAGTCAAAACTATGGAGCTAGACAAAATCAGAAGCCTAGATACCAAAAAAATCTGAGAACTAAGGGCAAGGTGTATAGCACAGCAGAGAATGTTACTCACCATAAATAAGCCAAGATTCCTCCCCCCAAAAAGGCAAAGAGAGAGAATTACACTCTCAGTGGGTTCATCTGTACTTCCATCATCAGGGAATGAGAAGAGAATAAAAAGCACAAAGTTGGTGGGGCTTCCAGCCATCCTGGCGTGGCCCTGGACAGCTATCAGGGTAAACAGGCATCTTGATGGCTACTGTCCATGGAGAAGCAAGGACACGGAGAGGAAAAACCAGAGACTTTCAAACAACAAAGATATAAGAAAGGGATTATAAATATTGATTCCCTTTAGTCTTTTTTTATTTTTAAAAGATTTTATTTATTTATTTTTAGAGACAGGGGAAGGGGGGAGAAAGAGGGAGAGAAACATTAATGTGTTGCTGCCTCTTGTGCACCCCCCCACCCCCACACTGGGGACCTGGCCCACAACCCAGGCATGTACCCTGACTGGGAATCAAACCGACAACTCTTTGGTTCACAGGCCCACGCCCAAACCACTGACCTACACTAGCCAGGGACCCTTTAGTCTTTTTTAATAGATACAGATTATCAGTCCTCATTGGGGATGTTAGATGATAGAAACTGTGATAAGCTATAGGTAATACTCAAAAGTATATTTACTAACCTTATAAAATCTGTGGTTTAACTCTGAAGACAACAGATACCTACATGAAAAGTAATGATCAGTTGCTGACCATCTACATGTTTCTACTTCCCAGTTTCTTGCCCTTTCACCCACGCTATTGAAAAAAGAAATTCTCCAAACTTGTATGCAATCTCACTGGTTGAGGAACTCTGCAGGGATCAATCCCAGGTACATTAAGACTAGTATTACATTACCAGTTTATTTTGCATCAAATTTACTTGTAACCCCCATAAATGTGTATTTATTCAATAAATATTAATTGATCATCTATAATGTGCCAAGTGCTGTTCTAGATATTAGGGAAACTGAAGTAGATAAAACAATATCTTTATCACCATGGAGTTTATATCACAATGTATAGGTTTGTATATCCTCTCTTCCTACTCGGGGAATATTTTTAATCAGTCCCTTACAGTACATTTCTTCAACCTCGTTGTCCATCAGAGGCTTCACAAGCACACACTCTTCCATCTGTTTGAATGAGAATCTTGAGGGAGGGATTGGGAAATTCATCTTTTAAACAAGCTCTCTAGGTGTTTTATATGCATTCATAACATTCTGGGTGAAACCACTACCCTATTAATAACATACTATCTAAGAAATTGGTGTTTTCCATTGGATTACATCTGTGGGACCTCATGATTTTCATGACTAACTGTTACCAAAGTTCTCATCTTTAGATAATATGAAAGTTGTCCGGGGTTTTCCACGGTTAATTCACCTACCAAAGACTAATAAGGCAGGCTTTTAAAAGTGTTCCATTTATTTTAAGCAAAAAGGGTTTTACTATAAGGCAGATATTACCATATTCTGCTTTGGGGAAGAAAAGAGTCCAACATTAATTAAAAATTATGGCTCATAGAACAAAAAGATTCATTTTAAAGATAAATTTGAGATAATACAGACCAGGGATGTTTTCTTACCAAAGAGGGCAAGACTGGGTGAATCTCAGAAATCCATTGTGAACAAGATAAAAAATATTCACTAAAGTAGTTTGAGTTAACAACAACTGGCATAGTCAATATTTAATATTAAACAACATGCATTATCAGTTGATATTCAGCTAATGCAGGCTTATTATGTGCCACATGCTATTCTCGGTACTTTAAAGATATTAAAAAGACATAATTTTCAACCCTCTATGAAATGGAATTTTGTTACCATGTCCATTTTGTAGAAGAGAAAACTGAGGCATAGAAAAGACAAGTAACCTACTCAAGGTTACAAAGCTGGTACATTTTAGCCAAGATTTGAACTAAGGTATCGAAATCCATGTTCTCCACTAAACTGCCCCTCCTCCTTAGTGTTTATAATACTTCTTTAAAAGACATACCAAAACAGTTTATGCCAAACTATTTTCTAGGAAGCAAGGATTTCTTTTTTAACCATGGTTTCCCTGACCCATTGCCTCAATCAGGCTAATTTTCATTTCAATCATTTTAAAATGAAGACAATGATGTTGCTGAGTGGACCATCAAGTTGTGAGAGGTTTAAGGATAACAGAGATATTGTTCTGAATCTCAGTTCTACTACCTGCTTGCGATATGACCTTGAGCAAATTACCTCTCCAAGTTTCAGTTCCCTCATCTTTAAAATAAAGGTTATAATGGGACCCACATCACAATACTATTTAAAAGATAAAACAAGATCCCCTATTCAAAGTACTTAGAAAGTACTCAATAAATATTAGTATAATAATTAAATATGTAAGATTTAATATGTAAATAGTAGCATCAAAAAACTGAACCAAATGATCTCTTGATTCTTCTACTCACACTAAAAATGGTTTATTTCTCTTCCAATTAAAAAAAGGACAAAAAAACAAAACAATAGCAAACCAAGCCACAAGCCAGTAAACCAATGATGTCTTTTATGGGAAAACCAGAAAGGCTATGGGACACGTGGATTTATATGTCATTAGTTTTCTCTATTCCAAAACGTATGTGCTCTAGCATCCTGAAACACCTTGCATAATACTATATAAACACTGTGATTCCAATAGGTCAAATGGACAGGCAGTCAGTGTTTCTCTGTGGGAAGCTCAATAATTCATTTTCTAAATCCCAGTTCAAAGCCTACATTGAGGTTAAGAAAAATTGACATTCGGTCTGTGAACTTAATGTCAAGCTTCAGAAAAACTCTGTGCAGCACATGTTTAGCGATTAAGTGGACACAGACAATAAAGACGTTGCCAGATTGTAAAACAAGACTTGGAAATTACAGAAAACGTTGCTAGTTATTGATTATGGTGACCATTCAGTTCTTACTGAGCCACCCAAAACAATCATTCATTTTCCAGCAGAGAGCCTGCTCATTTGCAAGATAAAGGAGAGACATTTCTGCACATGCCCATAATGTTCTTCACCACTGGGGGCAGCTTTACATAAGACTGCATTCACTGAAACCAAAGCAACAGTCCGAGCAGCTTTCAGAATGACAGTCTGCAGAAGTGAGCTGAGCGTGTGCGCGCTACAGGGCTCTCCTGCCTGCTGGGCTCCGATGCAGCTCTGTGGCTGAACTGGGTGCTCACCACCAGAAATGCTGGGCTATGGAATACAGATGTGGCAGCTCAGGTAGCCCCACGTTGCCTGGAGGAATACATCATGCTTTCCGATAAGAAGAAATTGTAGAAGCCAGTTGGGTTTTTTTTTACACCCTAACCCCCCAAAACTGTAAAGATGCAAAAACATAATATCCATGAAGATCCTATCACCTAGGAAGATTTTGATGTTCTGCTGCAAATGCGGAGTGGGGATTTATTTGTTCTTGGAGTGTTCCGCGTGGCTGGCAGAGAATAATGTTCCAAAATCGGTTCATCTCCCAAGGGGTCCAATTTTTCTTCCTGGGTGTCAGCGAGCCCTGACTCACTACAGTGCAACTGACAGGGGCTGTCATGCAAGCGGCCCCTAAGCCAAAGCAAAAGACCTAAGGACGACCTTTGAACAATACAAAGGATGGGTATGTTTTGTCATTTTTCTTCTTTCCTTCTTAAAAAAAACAAAAACAAAAAATCCTCTAGTCTGTGTATTACTTCTGCCTTAATTATTTTAGATGCCTTGCTCTGCTGTAAGACTATATATTCAATTGCTTAGTGAACACGTTTCTTGCTTAACTATTAAAAAAAAACCTAAAGACTATTCTCTTTAACTGACAAGGAGATGATTATTTGATGTTAAATGTTGTTATCTAGATTTAATTTTTTTAAAGAAAATATGTGCTTATTCTTGCTTGATTAAAAATAAATGAATTCTTTTTTGGGGGGATAACTTTTCTAAGTTGTTTTTATTTTCAGGTTTCAATGTAATTAGGCTACTGAGCGGATCAGCTGTAGCACTGGTTATAGCCCCCACTGTCTTACTGACAATGCTTTCTTCTGCCGAACGAGGATGCCCTAAGGGCTGTAGGTGTGAAGGCAAAATGGTATATTGTGAATCTCAGAAATTACAGGAGATACCCTCAAGTATATCTGCTGGTTGCTTAGGTTTGTCCCTTCGCTATAACAGCCTTCAAAAACTTAAGTACAATCAATTTAAAGGGCTCAACCAGCTCACCTGGCTGTACCTTGACCATAACCATATCAGCAATATTGATGAGAATGCTTTTAATGGAATACGCAGACTCAAAGAGTTGATTCTGAGTTCCAACAGAATCTCCTATTTTCTCAACAATACCTTCAGACCTGTGACAAATTTACGGAACTTGGACCTGTCCTATAATCAGCTGCATTCTCTGGGATCTGAACAATTTCGGGGCTTGAGGAAGCTGCTGAGTTTACATTTAAGGTCTAACTCCCTAAGAACCATCCCTGTGCGAATATTCCAAGACTGCCGCAACCTGGAACTTTTGGACCTGGGATATAACCGGATCCGAAGTTTAGCCAGGAATGTCTTTGCTGGCATGATCAGACTCAAAGAACTTCACCTGGAGCACAATCAATTTTCCAAGCTCAACCTGGCCCTTTTCCCAAGGTTAGTGAGCCTTCAGAACCTGTACTTGCAGTGGAATAAAATCAGTGTCATAGGACAAACCATGTCCTGGACCTGGAGTTCCTTACAAAGACTCGATTTATCAGGCAATGAGATTGAAGCTTTTAGTGGACCTAGTGTTTTCCAGTGTGTCCCGAATCTGCAGCGTCTCAACTTGGATTCCAACAAGCTCACATTTATTGGTCAAGAGATTTTGGATTCTTGGATATCCCTCAATGACATCAGTCTCGCTGGGAATATATGGGAATGCAGCAGAAATATTTGTTCCCTGGTAAACTGGCTGAAAAGTTTTAAAGGGCTGAGGGAGAATACAATTATCTGTGCCAGTCCCAAAGAGCTGCAAGGGGTCAATGTGATAGATGCAGTGAAGAACTACAGCATCTGTGGCAAAAGTACCACGGAGAGATTTGATCTGGCCAGGGCTCTCCCAAAGCCCACGTTCAAGCCCAAGCTCCCCAGGCCGAAGCATGAGAGCAAACCCCCTCTGCCCCCTACAGTGGGAGCCACGGAGCCTAGCCCAGAGACTGATGCTGACACGGAACACATCTCTTTCCATAAAATCATCGCAGGGAGTGTGGCCCTCTTCCTGTCTGTGCTCGTCATCCTGCTTGTTATCTACGTGTCATGGAAGCGATACCCTGCGAGCATGAAGCAGCTGCAGCAGCGCTCCCTCATGCGAAGGCACAGGAAGAAGAAAAGACAGTCTCTAAAACAAATGACTCCCAGTACCCAGGAATTTTATGTAGATTATAAACCCACCAACACGGAGACCAGCGAGATGCTGCTGAATGGGACGGGACCCTGCACCTATAACAAATCGGGCTCCAGGGAGTGTGAGGTATGAACCATTGTGATAAAAGCGCTCTTAAAAGCTGGGAAATAAGTGGTGCTTTATTGAACTCTGGTGACTACAAAGGGAACATGGTGCCCCCTCCCATTCCCTCTCCCTCTCACTTTGCTGGCAAGGCCCTGCCCTGTCCGTTTTAGTGCATTCATAATACTGGTCATTTTCCTCTAGTACATAATCAGCCCATTGAAATTTAAATACCACAATCAATGTGAAGCTTGAACTCTGGTTTAATACAATGCCTATTGTATAAGACTCTTTATTGATTCCATTAATGTCACACTTGTTTTAAGATAAAACTTTTTACAATTAATCCCCCACATCCGCTGCTTTTCTGGTAGAACCAAATCTACAGCTGTAGGAGGTTTGCAAATTGTTGGCAAATCAAGGAAAAACTGAATGATCCCAGGTACTCAGACCTTGAACTGATTCCAGGAGAATGCTTGATGACAGGAACATTTGGAGACAGAGCCGTGAAACAATGCCTGGCATAAAAGAAAATTGCAGGAAACTATCAAAAGATGGTGTTGGGTTAAAGCAGCACCAGGAGAAGTGTGCAGAGCTGTCTGAGTTATGATAAGGCAAGTGCAGGGAAAAGTGTTGAAAGGTTAAAATGAAAGTAGACAACTGCAAAATGTGAGGCGATGGTAAAAATACAAAGTTTGAGACTTTAAGCCCTGTCTCTGAAACCCATCTCTGTAAAATCAGACTAGACGTTTCACTGTCAATTTCTTCTGGTCTCTACATTTCCAAAACAAGTACCTAGAGAGCCAAGAAGCAAATTTAAGGAGGCAAATTTCTCTGCTGCTCCTCACGTTAGGGTGTTTTCAGAGAAAGGGCTTGCGAATGGGAAGGCAGCTTGCTATATTCATGTGGTTGGGAGCTTACCAGCATTTCTCATTCCAGTTCTTTCAAGGACCCTAATGTAGGGAGTGGAATCATTAGCTTTCTCTGTTCTTCTGTTTGGGATTTGTCAGGCTGTCCTACTGTGTTTCATTCTGTGTCCTGCACACACTAGTCCTCTAACGACCTGACACTTCATTTAAAGGTGTAAACAGAACACGGTCCAAGACATGCTTTCCATCAACAGCCTCATTAAAAAGGATGATTTTGAAAGCACCTGAATAAATGTATAAAATAAATCTCAGAGGAAAAAGGACCAACCCTCTGGCACTTGTCTTTGCTTTTCTATTGCTGACATTACTGTGTCTCTATGCTCATCTGTATTGTGAACTCATCCGTCAGTTTGATTCTGTACAGACCCTGCTGGCAATGTGCAAGCTGCATGCATGTTTTTATGTTGTAGGTGAAAGTTTATTGACTGCAGCACAAATATGACAGCTTTTGTATTTAAGTAACTTTGACCACAGTTCATTAAGATTTTAGAAAAATGTCTTTAGTCTGTATCCTCTTTCATCTTCCAAAATAAACAACTCAACTACAGGAGTAAAAATCAGGAATTGCAACATTAAGTCTGTTTTGTTTAATTTGGCTTGCCAAACCATGTCCCTGTTCTTTCAAAACAGAAATGCTGCAGCAAAAAAAAAAAAAGAAGAAAGAAAGAAAGAAAAAGAAAGAATGAAAGAAAGAAAAAGTGACTAGCTAATTTTACCAGCATTTTTATGTAGTTTGGGGGTTTTTCATATGCTGAGAGGCAACAATCTTAAGTCACCATGAAATATAATGGCAAGGAAGCCAGATTATAAAAATCACATTTTTATAAGCAATAAAGAAAAAGGAACATTTAAAGTGGATTTTGTTTTAATTAAATCCTAAAATAGATGGCAGTTTGAAAAAGCATCATAGCTACAATATGTTTACCCATCAATAACTCTTGACTAGATATTTATTAATGGCAAATTTTCACAGATTCCCAATGGATTAACAATGCAGATACTTCCTTACAGTACTGGGAACTGGATGACTGAGCCTACTGTGATGTTTTTCACTGAAGTTGTAATTTTACATTTTTCATAAAATGTCAGTAAATACATATTCCATCTAAAAAAGAAGTTTTCTTTGGTCAGACTCATTTTTCTCTGTACTAAAAATTATGGTATTAATTAAATGCAGTGTTAAAGTGAAAAATCCCACTTCTATTCTTTGGCTTGACCTTCTGCCTCATTTGTCATGGATACCAAATAAATGTAGGCAACGCATATTTACACTCCTATTTTTCATTCTTATAAATTCTCAATGCTGTGGTGCTGCTAGTATATATAAAATATATTTGCTGTATTGAAAACTGTTTCTAAAAGTCATAGCTACTTGGTGTGTAAGATTAAGTGAATATCCAACATTTTAAAGGCTAGTCATTTTTAATGTACAACTTTAACTCCTTATAAATTTAATAATGAATGAGGACCAAAATAAAAGATAGTGAAAACATATTTTGATTCAATACGTGAAATTCAAAAGAAAAAAAAGCAAAAAAACTTTTCCCCTTTTGGGAATGAGTCTTCTCTAGTTCTTAGTATTTTCTAAGCTCAAACATAGAATCATTGTAAGTTAGACACTAACTTGTTCGCCACTGTAATTTTAACAAGCCAGCTGGAGCTTGTTCTCCTCCTTAAAAGCTGTTGCTCTCACCCCTATCCCATAGCACTTCCTGGACTTCAGATGTAAGTCTGTTTTCTTTAGTATTTCAAACTCACTGCATATTAGAGAATAGAACTGATAGTCCATTTTCTAGTGCAAATTTACATGAAGTATGTGACTTTCCTCAAAGGTGACAACAATTAAATAAGCAGCCTGACCTGTTGAACTACAGAACAGAGAAACATCCAGGCAGATGGATCAGTCAGCACTTTGAATGCTTCCCCAGAGAGGAAATGCAGTAGAGTCTCCAAAATGCCTGGCTCTTTGAGTCCCAGCACCCACAGTGCCACTGCAGCATGCGGTTAATAGTCCCAGTGCCACGTTCTTCCAAGCAATACTGATGCAAGATATATTCCTTTTAATGAGTTTATATTTTCTAAGGATGTTGACATTACATTTTTCTACAAATTTAAACCATTTTTTTCCATTGATTTGGTGAGTCAACTACCTAAGCAGACAAGCAATAACTGTATTTCTGTGGAGCAGCAGTGACCTCCTGTGGCTGGTTAGACTAACCACAACTATCCATACATTTTATATAACTTTTTAAACTTCTGAATCCTTACAGAAATGTGGTTGACAATACATAGTTTTTGATCTGTGAATCAGATTTGAACTTACTTAGTTCATCTCCCTGGAAAATACAGTTATAGTGTTATTTTTTTTAAGTTATACAGGGTCCGGCAGAAGTAGCACCTGCCTGAGTGTGGTTGGTAAGGTAATAATATGAGTGTAGTAATTTATAGTTTAATTTGAACATTTCACCTAAAATGTCATATGGTGTGCTTGAGTGTGATATTGGTATGTTGCAGTTCCATGCTTATGATTTTATAATAAAAGATTTTGTAATGAACAAGGGGTGTTATTTGTGCCGGGCCCTGTATTTTGCATATTGACTTATTTAGTAATGCTCAAACAGAGGCCACAGAACTGGCACTGAGGGCTCGAAAGAAGTGCTCAAAAACGAAGAGCAAGTTATGATGTAATAAGATGGCTAAGAAATATTTTAAGGCCTTTGCACTCATTGATGTTGGCCAAATATACGTGTTTCCATGAAATGGTTTAACATTTTCCATAGGCAGGATACTGAAATATGATGTAATTTAGGCTGTGAAAAATAAACTTTAATATTAATATTGAAAGAATCAGCATCAGTTACTTACTAATCGGTAGGAATGTCTGAGCTATCATATGAGGGAGGCTCCCTTTCTGGCTCCAGAGCTCTCCAAGTTGTCGATCAATCATGCCAGTGACCTGTGCTTTCCCCCACGGCTCTCTCCCCTCCCCTTCACCTCCCTCCCCATTTCCAGCCTGCTGAACACTGGGTCTGTTAGACAATGATGTTACAATACAGGAGGCGATGATTCATGGATAATGAGATTATGCTCTCCTTCTGGGGAAGGATAATGCAGAGTCAGATTCATAGATTTGGCAAGGGTTTTTAGGATGCTGTAGGTGCATGCACTATCTTCTTTTCCTTTGACACTGACTAAGAAGAGAACTTAAACAGTTTATCTAAAGTGTGAATTAGATTAGCACCAAAAACAAGCATCAGGCCATGAAGCCTAACACAAAATGTGTTCCACACATGGCACGTGGGAACTGAACCACGAGACATAAAAATTTCAGAAACGGTGTTTCTTCTTGCATTCCCTTTCCTCTGGATTCTCAGAACTTGGATCATAGCAAATGTGTGAGGCTTTGCTATACTTGAATTCTCTTAGCTATGTATATTAAAACTCAGAGGTAACTAGAAGATATTATGAAAATGAAAAATTATATCAGTAAATTTGAATTATATATGTTGTAAGAGAAACAGAATTGATGAAAGCTAAGTAGCTTGTATTAAATGATTCTTGAAAACTAAAAAAGCACAGGTGAAAGTGACAGTTTCTCTCAAATCCAAATTTTGCTTAGTCTCCAAAATCATTGATGATTTTTGCATAGTTGAGTAGACTACAATAGAAATACTACAGAGAAATCTACATAACACATTTCTTCATTTGAGGAAAATATCACAGCCATATGTGGTAGGATGCAAGATTCTCTGACACTTGCTAATCAAATGATTTCAGACAAATTATTAGCTTTTCTGAACTTGAAGTTCCCCATATGTAAAACAGGCATATGTTGTTGGCTTCACGTGATTACTGGGAGGGGAAAATGTAAGAAGTGCTTTGTTATCAATAAAACAGTAAATGCCTATTGTTTTCAAAGAGTACTTAGAATGATTCTCAACTGTCTTTGCCAGTGTTCTACATTTGGTCTGGGTTATAAAGACATAACTAACCTCTATGTTATGGAAGCCCAAATCCATTTTACATTTATATCAATTCCGGGACATGACAGTGAGTCTAGATCTTAATGTGTCTTTGACCTTTCATTTAAAAAAA